AGGCTTACCATGTTGCATCAATTTCACTACCTAAAGTGTTGTTAAGATTAACTTCTTTCTTGTATCAGACTTTACTGAAGCATTTTTTAACCTTAGGAACGTAAAGCAATTTTGTGAATTGTCAGGGTCCTGCTATACACACTGTAATGAAGATAGGAAAAGAGAGAAAAAAGGAGGGAAGAAGAGGGAGGAGAAAGAAAGAGAAGAGGGGAGGGAGACAGAAAGAGTGACACATTGATTGACTGTAAATATTTTCTACAAATGAAAGAAGTAATGTCATAGTTCCTGTGGTGGCCATATAATACTATATGATTTTCTTTTCAGTAATCTTACCCTCTTATGTTTAAATTACTACTGGATGCCCACTAAACTTATTCTTCCATAGAATTAATATTTTTATTTATAAGACCCTCTATTCTTTGACTAAAAACGTTAATAGTTTTGTGATAAGGATTTTTCTCACCAGGAAAAAAAAAAAAACAAAATCAACACAATCTTTTCCCTTACAGTATAATCAGTCCACTTCTCATCACCACAGGCGCCAACATGGTTTGGGCTGCCTGCTCAATACGCTCAGAATTTCCTCTCCCTCGCCCTGGACCTGGCTCCCTCAACAGAGTACTCTCTCCTTCCCCTGAACTCTTGGAAGAGTTCTCCAGCTGTGACTGCACCTGAGTTCCACCCTAATAAACATACTGTCCGTTTTAATTTTACCAAGATTTCCTCGTTGCTAAAATTACTAACCTCTTTTTCACTTTTCACTCCAAATGACCTTCTCTGTCCCCAGCACACTGTTGACTACTAGCCACTCCCTAAAATGCTTTCCTCATTCATTATTCTTTTCCTGGTTTCTCTTCCTCTGCTTATCCCTTAAATATTGGTATTCTTCCGGGTTCTGTAAGGTTCCTCTTTTTTGTACATTGAGTAAAAGCCCTGGGAAATCTTGTTCGTGGCGTTGCTGCTCACAAAGTGTTTCCAATTCTCCCTCCTTCTGCACATGAGCTAGAAGTGCAATTCCCTGACTCCTTGAACTTGGCCAAGGCCATTTAATTGTTCTGGCCAATGAAATGTGACCCATACTGCTCGCTGGCAAAGCCTTAAGAATCAGTCAGTATGTAATTGGCCACATCAGTATTTTCTTATCGCAGTGGTCATGGAAATGTGTTTCCAAGATGGGCCCTGAGGGATCATGACCAGCAGGAGCTGCCAGCCTGCGCCGGACCCAGGACATGGGGAACACATGACAAGCAGCAGGAGCTGCCAGCCTGCGCCGGACCCGGAACACAAGGAACACAACGCTGGGGGAGCCACTGTGGAGTGTAAGGCACTTTATTATCACAGCAGGACTCAGCCCATCCTGACTGATAACCCCACTACTCATTCAAAAATATGTATTTCCAGCTCAATTCCTCTGCTGACAATGAACTCCAATGTATCAATGTCCCAATATGGCTTCTACTCAGAGAGCTGTCAGAATTGAGTGTTAGAAACATTTTTGCTACCTGAAGAAATCCACCAAAGCTCAGGTAAATGATGAGATGAGACTTCCCCTGTACATGTTTACCGTTTTGTTTGCACCAGCCTTCTCTGAAGCCCAAAAGTTTGCTTGTTTACTAAGCAAAAGAAAAACACCACAACGCCGTCTTCAGAAAATAATGTACCAGCAATAAATAATAAAGAATAATTTCCACCTTCCCGTCTCTGTTCAGAGACCAATGTCACAATCCTTTTCCACTCAACATGTATCAACACCGAGGCTTTCCCTGGATAAATTACATGTTATCTTTCGCTCAGTGTAGCTTGCTCAAAACCTTGTCCTGAATTTTATTCTTGTAAAACTAGCATTTAACACTCAGAACTATTTAAGTCTGTATTTCATTTCCCTGTGACGTTATGCCTTAATTGGATGTTTAAACACCAAGTCTAAGGAAATCTCCTCAGGAGCTTCACTATCAGCAGTGCTTGTCTTGAGACGCGTCACGGTTCCACGCCTTGTGATCTCCCCGGCTCTACAATCGGGAACACTCTTCTTCCCGGGAGCTGTCGTGTGGATTCAAGACATAAAGCAGGTAAAGTCTTAGGAACGTGCCCACCAGGTGGTCAATGCTCTCCAAGCCAGAGCTAGAACTGCTACCATGAATCCCTAACTGAGCATGTATTAAGCAACAGGAAGATACCAGTCACTGAAAGAACACTTTTACATCAGGCTGAAAAGCTAACATCGTCAGCAGCAAGAAGTAAATCCAATTCTGTAAAAGTCAAAAGACGTCCTTTCAATTATGATGTATATTCTGCCAACACTAAGCAAATTTAGAAGGCTATTTTTTAAGAAAGGAGAAGAGGAAGAGAGGAACAGGGAAAAGAAAAGAAGAGGGAGAGAAGGAATGCACACACAGTGGAAACTGGAAGAATTTCTAGGCCCTGTGGTAGCTTGACAGTACAGAACCTAGTGGCTTGCACAAACTCGTTACAAAACAACCATTTCTTGACTGGCAATCGGGGTTAGGTTGAAAAATGATGCCACTGAAAACCATTCATTTTATAGAAAAATAAAAATTTAGGTAACATTTACTGAGAATCTGTCAACGTGGCAAGTTCCTTCCCAAGAGCAACGTGTAGATGAGCATGACCTTGTTCCCAGCAACCCCGCGAGTCCAACCCCACTTCAGAGAGGGGAGGGTGAAGAGGCTGAGTGACACACGAGTGTGCACCAAGACCTGGACACAGACCCAGCAGCAAGGCTCCAGGGCTGCATTCCAAACCGTGCTTGCAAAACTAAGAGGCCGCTCCAACTCAGAACCAAGACCCCGAGTAAAGAGCTTGACGAGCCAAAAATAACAGGTGTATAAGATGAGAAGAAATAATAAAGTGGAGACTGAATTGAGGAAAAAATGACAGAAAATAAGTTGAACTGAAGAAAAAGGTGGGCTAAAAAAGGAGTCACAGTAAAAGGCAATGTAGCTTTAAAGATTTTAAATTCATATTTAAAATTAAATTTACCCTCAAATATCATAAATGCAAAAGTAAAAAGATTTAGGAAAAAAAATCCTAGAACTGTACATACATTAGAATATTCTAGTTTTGTGGTTAGGTGCAGTGGCTCACGCCTGTAATCCCAGCACTTTGGCAGGCTGAGGCAGGCAGATCACTTGAGGTCAGGAGTTTGAGACCAGCCTAGCCACCATGGTGAAACCCCATCTCTACTAAAAATATGAAAATTAGCCAGGTGGGCTGGTGCTCATCTGTAACCCCAGCTACTCGCAAGGCTGAGGCAGGAGAATTGCTTGAACCCAGGAGTTGGAGGCCTGCAGTGAGCCAAGATCACACCACTGCACTCCAGCCTGGGCGACAGAGTGAGACTCTATCTCCAAAAAAAAAAGATGTTCTAGTTTTGCTCACATGAAAGAAATAACATAGCACTTACCAGAAAACACGTATAAATACTTATGTGATTCTAACTCTATATATGATTACTTTAAAAATTTATTTTTAAATAATTTTAATACTATTGTAGAACTACTGACTTGAATATATTTGAAATGCAAATTAAACTGCAATGCAAGTCTAAAGAGAGAACTTTCCCCATTACCACAATTAGAATTTATACTCAGTAGTAACGCAGCATTTTTCTTTGACTTTAGCAAACATGTTACACACAGATATCTGGAGTTCTGTCAGGTACGGGAGATGCACACTGGATTTCCCGAGTGCACAGCTAAGGGTATTCTCAAGGCAAGCCCCAGTGAAAAAGCAAACAATCGACACAGAAGGCCTCACTCTACTTACTGCTGCAAATGGCCTGGGGCTTTATACGGTTGGTGGTATGTTACTAATTTTTGAAGAGTTAACCATTTTTAAAATAACATTCACCTGAGAAAATGGAATACATCTTGCCCAAACTTTTTGAGACAGAGTCTCACTCTGTTGCCCAGGCTGAAGTGCAATGGTGCGATCTTGGCTCACTGCAACGGCCACCTCCAGAGTCTGAGCCATCCTCCTGCTTCAGCCTCCTGAGCAGTGGGGACTACAGGTGCTCATCACCATGCTGGGCTAATTTTTGTATTTCTGGTAGAGACACGGTTTCACCATGTTGGCCAGGCTGGTCTCAAACTTCTGGCCTCAAGTGAATCACCTGTCCCAGCCTCCCAAAGTGCTGTGATTAGAGGCGTGAGCCACTGCACTTGGCCTATCTTTTCAAAGAATTATTTGATTTCCACTGTGTTGTAAATAAGACTTCCAGCAAAAGACATCAAAAGATAACCTTCACTATTAATTATCCACAGAGTGAGGCATAAATCCATGTGAGGATTTTTTGTTTCATCTAAATGCACACAAATTACATTTTAAATAAAAATGAGTAAAATCAATACTTAGGAAGAGCTTCTCATTAACTGTACATTAGCACGTACTGTGAATTCATCTCATATACGGTATCACGATGATAGCAACTACTGAGGAGTCAGACTTTTTGTTAATGATTTTACACACATGTTGGATGCATAAATAACAATTTCAGAAATATAATCAATTCAGGATATAATCAAGCAGTCTTTAATCTTTGGCTTTCTATATGCTTCTTCTGACGTGCAAATAAATAAAACTGGCTTAATACTATAACATCAAATTAAATACTATAAAAACATTAATACAGATTCCTTTATTTTAAAATGAACTATCAACATAAAAGAGTGCTAACTGTAAAATAAATAGACTGAAGATAAGAAATTAGCCACAATTAACTGTCAAATTACGGGCAAATTATGTATCTAACCATGAAAATTTAAGACACATATAAAACTGATTAGCCAAGCAACGATACTTTTGGAAATTCGCCAGTATGAGAATGTTGTTATATAAACACAGAGAATTCATATGGTAAATCACCAACATTTTCGAAAGTCTACTTTAAGCCAAAAGAATGAGCTTTCAGAACTATGCAGACTTTCTTGCTGAAAGGAAAAACAAGTTCGTTAAAGCAGTTGCTCCTCAATCTAGCCTACCTTATTTTTTGGATTGGATGTGTTCATTACACTTCGAGTCTCTTTTCCAGTATAAATGACAACACCTATTACAGTACCTGCAAAAACATGAAAGTGGTCCTTATAGAAATACTTTACAGATGAGTAAAAGATAACACTTTCTAATTCATTGTTTTGATGGAAAGCATTATCACACTATTTTATATAAATTTATCCAACAGTGTATTTAATTTGGCTAATTCAAGAAAATCTAATCTCAGCTTTAAAAATGGCCTTAGAAAATGTCAAACGATTTGTTAAGCAATACAAATGTACCTACATATAACATTAGGAAATGTACTAACATTCTTTTCACTGACAATAGAGACAATGACAATGGCCTTTCACTACTGTCTACTGAAACGGTGGTTCTATCACTGAAGGTCAATGAAGAGGCTATATTCTTAACTGATCAAACTTGCCCTTTGACCTTCAAATAAAGATGGTACCAGTTGAACCAGTTTCTTTTAATGTATTTCCACTGTAAAGATCAAAGTATTACTAAATATCAGTGACAGTCTTTGCTAATATTTCAAAATGTATACAATTAAAATAGAAATATTATAAAAAACAGTATTTGACTTTGCATTTATAGAAGCTATTACTCTTTTTTATACATGTCAAAAAGATAACAATAATTTTTAAATTCAAGAGAAAAGAATTTAAAAAAACCCTTGGTATGACCGATAGATTGCAAAGGCTAAAGGGCACTTAGCTCTAGAATGTCAGTATTAAAAATCATGGAAGTCTCTTTCTGCAACTACAGCTATATATTATTTATGTTCCCAATTTGCATCCTTAATTTTTTGTAAATTTTGAAGGTGAGAAACACAATTAAGGTAAGAAAGTACATACACATAATGTGCAATTACCATTACAGAATTAACTATAATAATTACACAAAAACTCTTTGATGTCACATTAATTTAACATGTAAAATGTAGAGTGTCATACAACAGGCTCTTTGAAGTAAAGATGATTGATACGAACTCTCGGCTTTTTGTGAACCTTGATATTTAACATATTGTACATATTACATAGCTTACACCTTCCTCTCTAGAAAATCTAGGAACGGGGAAGATATGAAGTATTCCCCAGCAGGGATATGTGCAGGGATTATATATATTTCTCTTTTAATTGAGTGCCACTGAGAAAGTGTGAGGCTTCAGTTTGTAAAGTTCATGAAAGGCAAGGCCAGCTCACACCTGGAATACATGCTCCCCGATGCACAAATGCCATCTTTATTATTATCATCCACACAAACTTCTGAGATTAGATGACTATACTTACTCTGCAGGGAAATATTAAATACATAATAACACAATACTATAAAAAGCTTTCAAAAAGAGATCATAGAATTACTTTACATCAGTGAAGCTAAATATTAAATATTACCTGATCAGTATTTTCTGTTTTGCCAATCTAGTTTAACTAAATCAAACTATAAACATCCCACTAATGTTAAATTACCACAATGATGTAACAAGGCAAACTTCAAAATTAACTTATTTTTTAACATTAACAGAATGAGCAATGCTCAGAGAAGTCTTTGCAAGAATTAATCAAGCTAGAAACCCCTGACCTGAAAGCAGGTTGATGAACCAAGTGGACTCTAGAGTAGCCTTACAATGTACAGCGCCGAAATTCAATGTGATAAAGGACAAGGCATACGTTATACATTTTTAACAGAGGTCCTGGTACAATATTTGTATAATATGTTAAAGTTTACTAAAGGCTCTCATAAGTATTCTCTCACTTGATTCTCATGAAAAATGACTACTTACTAGAATTAGATTAAATGAATTTTTCTGACTGTCATGCTTTTTAATATCTAACGTATAGTATCAGTGCAGAAATATCTGGAACATTTTCCACTCTCTTTGACAAAGGGTATGTACTTATGAAGTAGAATAGGCTAAAAGATTGAGTAAAACCTGTACACACGGCAAAAAGAAATAGAGGAAAGGGGTTAACTGTGGATTGTGAAAATGAGACACGAGAGGACAACAAAATATGACCAACTCATTTTGTGTCTCAGAAGAGAACGGGAGACTGAGTATGACAAATATAAAATGTCACAAAGATTTCTCAGTAAATGAAATACTTAAACAGGAGAATTCCAAAACTTTAACCCATATTTTCAGTGTAAAATCAAGATCCACCTCCCTCACAACGGGCTCCAACTGGAGAAATTTCTACATCAGAAAGATCTGAGTTCAGGATCATGTTGGTGGATTAAAACCACAACCACAACAACAAACCAGTTCTTAACAGGACCCTAAAAATGGTGGTGGTCCAGTATTCATCATTAAATCAAAAATTTAACTCCATTTATCCCAAGAAAACATTCAAAAGGATTTACGAGCACTTAATCTTCAAAGCCAGTGGATTACATTTGCCTGATCCGTAACTGGACACTTCAGACTGACTACAGGTAAAAAATTAATATAAAATATTCAGATGCTTTGGGTCCAAAAAGGGAGGCATAAAATATGACCACATTTACTCCTACACTCCACAGACCCCGTGACTAGGGCCCTTGAGACTTAGCCTACTTCCAAGAGGCTACTATGTGGACAGTCTGTAAGTCATTCTACAGTCCAACTCTATTATGTCCAACTTCTGTTCAATCACAATTTCATGTGAGTAGGATAATTACTCCCTTAGTTATTATGTGCCTTCTTTGCTACATGCTATATAGAAAATTTCATGCAAAATTATACCACTTTCTAATTGACTACAGTTGTATTTTAAGCAAATAACTTCCATGATGCAAAGCAAGACAAAGAATGCTAACAAGGTCAAATTTTGTAGAAAAAGATACTCTCCTTTATTTAAACGTTTCTAGTTTATATCACAAAACATAATCCAGCACTTCAAAACAAGTAGTCCACTCAATATTTCAAATGACAGGCCTATTGCAACACTTTTAGTTGCTATTTTTAACCACTGATATATTATGTTTAATTTGCAGATAATCAACCAATCCTCACAAATTCAAATTAAGATGATTCACAGAAAACTACATAAAAACACAAAATATAAAACCTAGACCACTTTAACAAAACAACTAATGGCCTTAAACTAAAACATCAAAATGATGTGAAATGCTTACTAAAAGTCAACACGTATTTCATGTGTGTCTAATGAGAGACAGAGGTATTAACAAATCAACGTATTTGTTGACCCTCAATTATACACCCAAAACCTGCTAGATGCCATTAGCAAAAGCAGGCAGGACCACATACACCAGCCTCTGGAACACACTCCAACTCGCAGATGCCTTCCAGGAGCCAATTTCCATAGAACCCCAGTGTGTACTGCTCACTGGGGCAGGTGCTCCCGGGCTGGACCCGATGATAGCAAGGCAGACACTGAGCACTACATATACAACTCCAATCACGCACCAAGTGCAAGAAAACTGATGAAGACCATGAACTGAGCCCCAGAATGTAAACGACCTAGACCAAAACTGATGCACAGAGTACAAATGAGACCCCCAACCAAGGTCTAGCGTCCACACAGCCAGGACACAGAGACACAGGAGACCCGCACCCAGGTCTAGAGTCCACATGGCCGAGACACAGAGACACAGAAGACCCTCACCCAGGTCTAGACATCACGCAGCTGGCCCACTGAGTGACAAGGAGACCCGCACCCAGGTGTGCGTCCACATGGCCAGGGATTGCCCTCTGACGGCCCCGTCACACTTTTGTCAACCTTGCCTTAGGGAGCCGAGCTTTCCTTCCAGTTTTGTGACAGCTGAGTATCAGGAACACTCCTTTCTATGCTCATCATGACAGTAAACACAACAGTTCTCCAGGACTCCATTCTGCATTTTACAGAATAAGTGTTCTAAATCCACATGGGAAGTGAAACCTCAGGCAGCACAGCAGGCTCCCTGTGTCCTGCCTTGGGTCGCCTGTCTGTGTCTAACCTGAGTCCTGGTTCCCATGCACTGAGAACTCTAGGACGGGGAGGAAGGGCCAAGTTCACTTCCCTCCAGAGTCAACTTGAATTCAACTGAGATACGACTTTTAAAGTATAAGAGTAAAAGGAATTCTCAACTTGTAATCAATTACAAAGAATGCAAGAGTGCTTAGGTTACTCTGGAAATCTTAAAGTCTTTCAAACATTCCTTAGGACATAGCAGTGTGGTAAATATATAGAATGTGGTAACTGTTCACATTAATAAGGCTTTTAAATAAAGATATGTATGTACTAAAAGAGTTGTAATTAAAGAAAAAGCTTACATTTAAAGATGTTCGAATACAAACTAACATTAAAGGCACCTTAATTAAGCTTCTCAAATGGATGGTTTTTTTTTTTTGAGGCGGAGTCTCGCTCTGTCGCCCAGGCTGGAGTGCAGTGGCCGGATCTCAGCTCACTGCAAGCTCCACCTCCCGGGTTCACGCCATTCTCCTGCCTCAGCCTCCGGAGTAGCTGGGACTACAGGCGCCGCCACCGCACCCGGCTAATTTTTTGTATTTTTTAGTACAGACGGGGTTTCACTGCGTTAGCCAGGATGGTCTCAACCTCCTGACCTCGTGATCCGCCCGCCTCAGCCTCCCAAAGTGCTGGGATTACAGGTGTGAGCCACCGCGCCCAGCCGAGTGGATGGTTTTAAAGCCATCTTCATGCCCACTAGGAAGACACAACACTGCACGTTAGATGGCAAAGAGAACAGAACGGGCAGGATGGGGCCGGCATGTCACAATGCCTAATTCGCGTCCAATAGGTCGGGTCCACTTGCCAAGGTCATCAAGAGAACCGAGGTCAGGAGACAAAACTTGGTTCAGGGAACTGTATCGGATGTCTCAAAAGCCTTTAGCTCGAGCAACTTCAGTCTCCCTCAGGAGAAGGGCCACAAATCAACAGTACTAGGGATCAGTAACATTTAATACACGTTTACACAGCACCCAGGAAAAAAAAGATGAAATATATTTTAAAAAGAGAAGCATTACTATCTTCACGAATGATCCTTAATTAAGAATAATAAATATCGTGAGATGGAAGAAATAGGCTGCAATAACTATGTATGGAAAATGTAAGCTTTCTCCCCATGTGTCAGCTTCTGTGTCAGCTTCTGAGTCCTGTATCATAAATGCTTTCGTGTAACTACTGAAAGTCGAGCACTCAAGGACACCGGCTTCAGGGGAAGGCACAGCTGGACTCCATTCTGGTCTCGGTGTGGCCTGGCTCTACGGTAACTGGCAGAGGGAACACACCTCCTGAGTGCAGTCATTCAGCGTGAGGCCAGACCGGCACTGACCGGACTCACCACCTGGCGGAGAGGCTGGCAACACTCATGCCTCTCAGCAATGCCAAGGCAGCAGCATGAAGACAGCTGGAGGGCAGGTTTCCCCGGCTGAATGTGCCTGCCCATGGCGTGAAGACCCCTACAGAGTCCAGGGTCCACATGTCCACTCCGGAAGAATCCTCCTGGCATGAAGTCCTTCTCAAGGCCTCCAGAGCCCCGAAACTGGCCTGCTCACCTCTGAAGTCTCTTCATGGAGAACTGTCCTTATTCTCTTTGTATGTTGAGAAATTTATATATGTATGTTTTATACACACACACACGTAATGGAAAACTGTCCTTATTCCTCTTGTATGTGAGAAATTAATATAATGTATGTTTTTATACACCACCAGTAATGAAACTGTCCTTATTCTCTTTGTATGTTGAGAAATTTATATATGTATGTTTTATACACACACACACGTAATGGAAAACTGTCCTTATTCTCTTTGTATGTTAAGAAATTTATATATGTATGTTTTATATATACACACACACGTAACATTTCTATCATACACAGATGTAATTTATATATAAATAACAGCAAACACCCACAGAATTGTCACCTATTAAAACTGTCATATACCCATCAAGCATTTTTTAAAGACACAGAACACTAGGATAAGATTAATCCTCTTTCAAATTCTATCCTCCAAAAAGCTAACATGTGTACTCCTCCTGAAGTTCGTTGTATAGTTTTGCATAGTGCAGGCCAACAGTTAAACACAAGCACACAAAGCTGCCCCGTTGTGTGACACCTGCCTTCTCCATGGGCCTGGCACACTGGCCCTTGGATCCTTTTCTTCAAGGTACTGTCTCTTGGTAGCAGGCTGCTAGCAGGAATGGTCCTCACACTGTTCCTGCCGCCCGCCTCATCCTGCCACATCTGCATATTCTTTAAATCTAATTTAGATGTTTCTTCTTCAGAAAAGCTGCCCTTAGACCTGGTCTATATAAGCTTATTTTCTTTTGTGAGACAGAGTCTCGCTCTGTCACCCAGGCTGGAGTGCAGTGGCGCCATCTCAGCTCACTGCAAGCTCTGCCTCCAGGGTTCACGCCATTCTCCTGCTTCAGCCTCCTGAGTAGCTGGGACTACACATGGCCGCCACCACGCCCGGCTAATATTTTGTATTTTTAGTAAAGACGGGGTTTCACCGTGTTAGCCAGGATGGTTGATCTCTTGATCTGCCTGCCTCGGCCTCCCAAAGATGGTCTTGATCTCCTGACCTTGTGATCTGCCCGCCTCAGCCTCCCAAAGTGCTAGGATTACAGGCTTGAGCCACCGTGTCTGGCCTATAAGCTTCTTTAATTACAAAATTTCCATGGCATTCTGTACTTGTTTGTGATACTTAGCACAGTAACGTTATCTAGATCACCTTCTTAATCTCTGTCCACAAAGCCATAAGCTCCCTGAGGACAGGATCTGTAACTGCCTTGCCCCAGACCACATCACCATGCCTGGTGTAGAACAGGTGCTCCATGCACATGCATCGGGGAGTGAGTGGCATCCAGGCGAGAAGGGCTACCAGTATTGGGCAGCGCTGAGAAGACATAGCTCCGACAATCTAGCCTCACATTCCGGGCTGCCATCACCTTTCGGGCACTCTCTTCCAGGGCGCCTTGCTGCTAAGCCCCATTACTGGCACCAGCATCAACATCAACCCATTCCTGCTTCTGTAGCGTCTCTCATTAAGGAACACTGACAAGTTTGTCAATAAACAGGTCAAAGACGAACAGAATATCCCTACACTCTTGCACAAAGGCTGCATCACCTCTCCCTGTCTCGGGCCTTGCGAACCACGTGCAGTGTCTGAGGAGCAGCACAAGCCTCACCACAAGCTCCCAGGACTGTCTCAGACCCACTGAGCTGGAGTCTGCATTTAGCAAGGTCCCTAAAGATTTCAGGGCACTGTGAGAAACACTTGTTTGGAGTCCCTGGACAAAACAAAGCATCATCTATCCGGGAGCAACCACACTCAGAGGAGAATGCTTTCCTTACCCGATGCAACAACGGTGCTTGCCCACAATGTATTTTCTATGCTGAGACTTTCATGAACGGGCGGGTCACTGTCTTCCTGTGCAGGGAGACAAAAAGAAAACACAACTGTCAAATAAGTGACTGTTCATTATTCATACCTTAGATATCCTCAGTGTTAGAAACAGGTCCGCAAGCTCAATCCAAGTGAACAGCAGTGCAAAGGCCCTGCAAAATAGAAGAAAAAAGGGACTATAAAAAATTGAAAGTACAAGTTCAAAGAAGTCCTGTAATCAATTAATTGCTTTCAGTGCTTAACATTAATACACAAACAAAATAATTCTAAATTTTCATGAAAGTACTACATCTTCTAATATTTATTTATTTATTTATGAGGTGTTATTATGTCGCCCAGGCTGGTCTCAAACTCCTGGGCTCAAGCAATCCGCCCATCTCAGACTCCCAAGTAGCTGGGTTTACAGTTGCATCCAGCATGCCTAGCTTATTCAACTACATCTTTAACATGTCATTTAACAACACTCCTGGAAAGGTAGAAAATATTAGCACAGAAACAGCCACAAGTCAACTCTTCAACATTTCTTTTGCATGCATAGCATAATGTCCTCTTCCTATCTCTCGTGAAGGACAAGGGCAATGCTTTTTAAGTGTACGTGTATTCACGAGAGAGAAAATGCTTCGTGAATATTGTTGTAAAATAAACATATATTTTTAAAATGTATTTCTCTTAAATTCCTCTTTAAAAGTATGCTATTATTGGCCAGGCGCGGTGGCTCACGCCTGCAATCCCAGTACTTTGGGAGGCCGAGGCAGGCGGATAACAAGGTCAGGAGATCGAGACCATACTGGCTAACACAGTGAAACCTCATCTTTACTAAAAATACAAAAAATTAGCCGGGCATGGTGGCGGGCACCTGTAGTCCCAGCTACTCGGGAGGCTGAGGCAGGAGAATGGCACGAACCCGGGAGGCGGAGCTTGCAGTGAGCCAAAATCGTGCCCCTGCACTCTAGCCTGGGTGACAGAGCGAGACTCTGTCTCAAAAAAAAAAAAAAAAGGGTATGCTCTTATTACACTAAATATTCTTAAACAAAATTCAAGTAAGTTATATGATGCTAACTACCTAAACAGATAGCAAACAAATATGGCCACACACCAGTATCACAACAGCAATACATACAGTCTAGTTTTACATTTACACTTTCAATGTTCATATTCAGAGAAGAAAATTACAATTTAAAATCTGGGAATTTTTCATCTTGATGTAAAGTCACAGCCTACATTTTGGTTATGGAAGCCTTACTAGAATAAAGGACCGCAAGCGCCACAGCCCTGCATCAGAAGTAACACAGGGAAGACGTCCCGTGTGGGAGGTAATGACCTCGCCATCTGGATAGGGTAAAAGCCACACACTGTCCTGACTGCCGGGCGTCCGTCTCCCATCAAATAATGCCACCTCCACAGAACTGTATTTTATTATGAAATGGTAATTTGCTATCAGGATATAGCTTAAGAAAAAAAAAAAGAAATCAAATTTGAAAACGAAAGAAATTGAAAACATATTTTCCAAAATTATCTGCATGTACAAAATACGTTTATGCTACTGGTGTTTCCCTTCTATTTACTTATCAAGCCACTTTTAAATGATGTAATTTTGGCCATTTTGCTCATTACTTGGGAGATATTTGTTGGTCATTTTGCTCATTACTTGGAAGGTATTTGCTAGATATTTGATTCTCTCATATACTTATTTGTGAAGCACAGAATCTAAACCAATCCTAACAGTTTCCAAAATATTTCCCCTAGTATGTCAATTATTTAGAAACTGAGGTATTTTCAATTACATTCAATCTGAGGAAGGGGTTTGGCCTCCAGTTGCCTTGTATGCCTGAAATAGCAAGCCCAGGAGTTGGGAAGCGTCCTGCAATGCAGGTGCAGCTCAGAGTCAGACTCTCCGGGCCCTGGGGATGGTGACCCTTCCACCACATCCCTTCACAAGAAGCAACCACCTGACCTGAAGACCGACCTTAGCATCTGAGCCTTTGGGGGAGTGAAGGCTATGATGCTGGGAATTGTTTACAACACAGCTGGAGTGCTGTTTCTTTGAAAAAAAAAAATCATTTCAAAAATAGACACTGGCATCTAAATAAACAGTACCTTGGTTACATCATCTACAATATGATCTCAGTAGGCACAAGTGCAATGCCAGCCACAACAAAAGACACAAACAGGTCTTCTCAGGGACGTCAAGGGTTTTAAGGAGCAAGTGCCCTGCAGTCACAGCTGGGACGGAAACAATCTGTCTGCAGCATGTGCTGACTCCAGCATGGACCAACTACTATTCCTGCAGATACACAAACACTTTCAATTCTACGGTCCCTTAGGAAGTCCTTCCTTCAACCCCACAGCCCCTTAGGAAGTCCTTCCTTCAATTCCAGTTTATCAAGTACAACACGTTGCACGCTTTGCTGAACTTAGCAGTTACACTTACAAAAATCTGATAATTAACCTGTATTGATATGCAAAATAGTAAGGATATATATTTTTAAGTGGAAAACCTGAGAATTACATTATCCCAATATAAGTCTGCATGTTTACAGGGGAAAAGAACTTAAAAGGAAGAGTCAAAAGAGTAATACTAGTATCTGTATCAGGAAAGGAGGAGGGCTGTAAAAGTGGTTTATACCTTTAACTACTTTATTTTTATATAGTTTCATACTAATGGTAATATGTTTACAAATGTCAATATATACTGGAATCAAATTAAGCTTCTGCACAGTAGCAAACACACCACCGTTATAGTCTTTAAAACACAGAAGAACATTCAAGTACTTAATTTTCCAACACTGTTCTTGTTTTTTTCCACAGAAAATGCCAGATGGAAATTGCCTTTCGTTTACTTTGTTTATAACTAAAGTAGCTGCTCAAAGTACAGGCATATAATTTATCCAATGCTGAGATAAACAATCCAGAAAAACTGAGTTACCCCTATGACTTTTATGATTTGATAGAACAAGAAAAATATCAACTGTAAAGAAAAAGCAAGTAGCCTCTGTGGATTAGACCACTTTGTAACTGAATTTAGGATTGCACCGAAATGGGTAATTTCTGACTCATTCAAAAAATGGTGTTACAGTCTAACTCAGCTTCACACTGTGGAAGAAACAAAAAAAGATACATATCCTCATTCCTACTTCCCAGATACAGTTGGCTCGGTATATCCTTTACCTCCTTTACCTGCTGGGGGTCTAGAGGTTCCAGCATTGGCAGAGCCAGCTGAGCATACAGTTGGCATTAAGAAGTCAAATACTGAATTCTATATTTATCATTTTAAAGCATGAAGCAATACAATTTCTGTCTACCATAAATTCTGATACCATAAGTATCAGAGCAACTGACATGTTTCTAATCCCATGTTTTATGGGTTTTACCTTCCTAGCACCTAGCACAGAATAGGCAATGAACATTGTCCAATAAATAAAAGAACACTCATGAAATTCTTTTTCTAATATCCACAGGAATCAAGATGTCTTTCACCTCCAGTGCCTACTAGCACGATGCTAAAGAAATGAGTCACCTGCTTGTAGTTAATTTGAGTCTCCTTCTTTTATGAAGCATCAGGTACTTGCTCCTCCACGCCCTCCTGCCTGCTGTTACTCTAAGCTTCCTGCCTTGATCATTCATCAGGTACCTGCTCCTCCATGCCCTACTGCCTCCATGATGCACCAGGTACCTGCTCCTCTAGGTTCTCCTGCCTGAAGATGCTCATCATGACTTCACCACCCCAGTAGAAATTCACACAACTGTATTCCCTTTAAACTCTTCCTAATGATTCACTTGACGTGAAAGTTTAATTATTGATGCATGTCAATATTTTAGTACTATATTTTCTCCTAATGTCAAAGTCCAAGAGATAAGGGCATTAAAAAACATAAAAATTTTAGAAGGGTTTCTCAAATGTAAACAAAAGTTTCTATATAATTTAGTTTTAGAAATTTTAGCTGGTTTCCTGTTACTTTTGTATGACCATTTTTCCGTATGAATGTTTCTGTTTCTCTCTAACACAATTTTATGTTAAAGAAAACACAATACCTATGCATTTTTCTTTCAGGTCTGGAATGGCAATGATTGACTATAAACATTAAACATTTTTCTAACATGGAGAAAATTATTCCAAAAGGTAGTTTACCAGTCTCATGAAGCACAGAATAAACGACTGGGAAGACTTTATCTTCCCAGTCTTTTAGAGAAATAAATTATCTCTAAAATGTTCCATTTTGCTTTCCTTCTCTTTAATGGTCTACAGTGTGAATAGATAAAATGTGCTTGGGTGAGGATGCAAAATGTTACCATTTCATGCTGTTCTCTCAACAGCATACCCTACTTAACAAACAGCAGAGGTTTGCTTTTTTGAAGGAGAGTATTTTGGCTGAAGAAGACATGAACAATGATAAGTGTGCTATGGTTTGCAAAAGAAATTACAGCAGAAAATACATTCTCAAAATGACGAACTCGGAATGTGACGTTAAAGGACCATAAATACTGCTAATATTTCAAAACTGGCTACAATTTCCAAATCCAAACTTCCAGGAGAATACACATAGATTTTGAACAATTAGTAAAATTAGCGATATCAATCATTCACATAATGAAAAAGGTTATACAATCAGTAATTTAGGTTGTTCTCACATTACCTGAGAAAAGCAGAAGCAGACACCATCACAGCCCCACATCTATATTAAATTCTGCACAGGCATCAGCATGCATATTGGGTATACTGCCACAGGGACCTTGAATTAATTTGCTCTAATTCCGTATTTATTTATTTTTTAAGACAGGGTCTCACTCTGTCACCCAGGTTGCAGTGCAGTGGTGCAATCACAGCTCAGGGCAGGCTCTACCTCAATCTCACAGGCTCCAGCAATCCTCCCACCTCAGCCTCCCAAATAACTGAGGCTACAGGCGTGCTCCAGCTGTAGCCATCCCACTAGGCTAATTTAAAAAAAAAAATTTAAATTAGAAATCAGGGGCTGGGCACAGTGACTCACGCCTGTAATCCCAGCACTTTGGGAGGCCGAGGCGGG